TTCGCATTACGAAAGATTTTATACATTCTTGTTTTAATTTTTTTAAAGCTTGATTTTGTTTATCATGATCTTTTTCAGAAAGAAATCGTATTAAAATGGGTGTTAATACAGTTGATTCTCGATGAATATGAGATGGATCGAAGACAACAATTCGATCATTTCGTTTTAAGCCACCATATAAAGTAATGATTAAAGGAAAGAGGATTATAGGAATTGAACTCATTTCAATGTTTTTATCAAGCAAAAATCTTTTGAAAGTATTTGGATTGGAAGGTAATAACTGATGATTTGAGAAAGCTATTTTAATTAATAATCGATCAATAGTAAATTCATTATTTTCATTATCAAGCATTGACAAAGATTGAAGTATTGAACAAGATGATTGATCTAACCATTGAATATTTTCAAATTCATGAGGTTTGCCTTCGATAAGATGACAAAGAGCTGTTATTGTTTGAATATCATGTTGAGAGGATTGAGATAATAATTTATTAATCCATAATGAAATAAGATCATGTGAAAATTTTTTCAATATGCTCGTAATTTGATCGAATAGAAATGGACAAACAATTGACCATTTATGTTGACCAGCTGCAATTATTAAACGATCTAAAGCATTAAATAAAATATCATTTGAAGGATAATTAACAAAATCATTGACATAATTAATTAATATATAAGCAGCAAATGGTAACAGTGAATCATATTTGTCTTGTACTTGCATAAATTCGTAGCAGAGATCATTAAAATCGTTTTGAGACCAAGAAGAACTAATTTTTCCGAAAGCAAGTGTGATTGGTACTCGAAATCGTGGATCAATTGTATGACGACACAACATTTGAACGATAAGTTGAATTTTGTTGTCTCGATCGATTCCATCACTAGCAAATCTTCTATGTTTTGGCGTATCTACTTCAATGAGTTTCAAACAAGTGAAGTATTCTTGAAATGGTAAATGAAGAAAACCATAGAGTGATCCACCTCTCGAAGCTAAAATACCAACATCGTTACAAATAACTTGTGCCATTTCCGATGCTTGTCTTTCAATATTATAGATATCTTCTGTCGTTAGTAATGTTTTACTTATAGAAGCTTGGATCGTTTGAGCACAGATTTCTTTGATTTCTTCATTGTCAATATAATTCGATGTTGGATTTTGATGAATACAATAAGCAATGTCAGTTAGAATTCGAATCACTTTTGATATATCAATAGTCGGTTCTTTACTATGCCACATATTTAACATTGATTTGACAATTATTTCATATAGAAGAATACGTTGAGTAGGTAAAGATGAACCATTTAATTGACTAAAACCTATGGTGCAAATAGATGATAGTAAACCAGAATTTGAAGCCATATCAAGAAGATCAACATTTTGAGTTTTTTCCAATTCTTTTTTCAGTGCTTCACTATAATTTTCTGCTTGATTAACTAATGGAAGACCTAAAATATCAATGATACGTTGATGAACACGAAAAAACCAATAATCAACAAAATCTTTTATATGTTTCATATCCATAGGTCGAATTGTGTAATGAGAAAATTGTCCAGCTAATGGAGCAGTATAATAATTGACTAAACGAGTTGTAACAATCAATTGATTACCTCCTAATCGAGATGGATCATCGAATAACTTGTTTAAATATATATTGTCAAAGACAGAAACATCTATCGGTGTCTGAACATAAGTATCAACAAAGTTTTCAACGATATTAATAATTTTTGAACGTTGAACTGAAATAGGAATTTCATCAAGACCATCAAGTATGATTAGAGCTTGACCTTGTTTAATATAATCTTGAAGACCCCATGATAAATTATCAGGAGAGATCGATGAATCATCAACAATTGACTTTCCCATCCATTTATGTTTTCCAATATAATCAAATAACGTCAATGATGGTTGTTCTTTCAATATTTCAGCAAATTCACCAATACGAATCAGAATTGGTATACGAAGAAGTCCATAATCTGTTGAATCTGATTCCTTGAGAAGCACTGTTTGAGCTAAATGATGAACAAGCCATCGAACAAAACTTGTTTTTCCACTTCCTGGATCACCCAAAATAATAATCCAACGTTTTGATCGAATAATACTTTCCACAGTGACATTATCTTCTTTCGAATGGCAATCTTTTTCAACCATCGACATCATGTAAGGAGTTGATATTAGTTGTTCCCATATTTCCTTAGATCTTTCTTTTCTATTTTGTGCACTCTGTAACATATTAGCTTCATTTTCCATGAACAATCGTCGTGATTCATTTCTTTCGAATGATGTAGATTTATCAGTTGTAAATTGAATGAATGTACGTGTGAGAGGAAGTTTACATGGTCGCCATTTATGTTCTAACATCATTCGTTCTTTATAAGAGATTTGATAGGCATTATGAGTAACTTTAGCAACAATATCACCTGTAAGACCAGTAGGAGATTCATCTTTATGTAGTTCAATACAAGTGCGAAGATAGGATTCAATCGTTTTGGGATATTTTTCATGTAAGAGATGAAGTTGTTCTATAATATTTTTTTTAGTACATTGTTCAATAGCTTCTAATCTTTGTTTCATCATCTCATCAAAGGATTTCTGATCAAGAAGTTGTTGTTTCTGGTAAGCGTTGGTAAGTATTTGAACTCTCGCTTCATAGTTATCTGTTATATTAGCTTCATGTTGAGCTAGTCGAAAATGAAGGCGAAGTAGTACAGATTCGAGATCTTTATAAGTCATTCCATTAAGATAATTTTCATTTCCAGTACAAGTAATAATAATCTTATCGATGGCTTTTAGTATTTGTACAAGATCGTCTTGTAAACGATTTTTATCTAATGATGTAACGAGATCATTTAATCCATGTTGAAGACGAGTTAAACTAGTTGTTATCAATTTCCAATGATCTTGACATACTTTCACCCCATTCATTCGCTGAATAATGATATCTATCGCTGTTGATTAGACCTAGGACAGTTCCCAGTTCTATGAACTGTATATTTTCGAAGAACTGGGTATAGTGACCAGTTCTTTTTCCAGAACTGGTTAAAGTGACCAGCTCTTTGACGAGAACTGTGTGCACCCGGCAGTTCTTTTCTAAGAACTGTACACACCCGACAGTTCTTTTTCGAGAACTGGTTATTGCAACCAGTTCTTTTTCGAAGAACTGGATTAAGCGTCCGGTTCTTTTTCAAGAACTGACTACCGTGACCAGTTCTTGGTGAAGAACTTGGTAAAATGACCAGTTCTCTTTTCAAGAACTGGATAAAGTGATCAGTTCTTTTTCGAGAACTGGATAAAATGATGAGTTATTTTTCGAGAACTGCTTATTGTGACCAGTTCTTTTTGAAGAACTGGGTAAAAGTGATCAGTTCTTTTTCAAGAACTGGGTAAAGTGACCAGTTCTCTTTCGAGAACTGGGTGTGGGTTTGGGAAGGGTTTTGTGTGGATTGGGTTGGGTGTTGGTGTGTGTGCGTATAAGTCTTCTCTCAGCATTCACACCTAGGGGTGGGAAGTTACCGTTACGCTTCGGGGTTACCCTTGGTCCACCAAGTGCTAGCATTACGGGGTATACTCGGGTCCTCCCGGAGGACCGAAAAGTACCTCCCAATACTTTGACTTCAGGACGTCAGGGTGCCCCCCCCCCCCCAATAGTAAGACTTCAGGGGCCAGGGATACTAGCAACACCAGTAATTGTTGGAGCAAGGGTACCGCGCGACACTTGCACTGTTTGGGCAAAGGCTGCCGCATTACTCGGGCAGTGGTTGTACCAAGGCTACCCTCCTTCCTGGCAATTGAACCTGATGGCATGAAGGTCGGCGCAAAATTTGCATAGGTTGGGCCCACATTACCGCGCCACTTTTTGTGGTGGTTGAGCCAAGGATATCCCCCCTCCCCCCCTTTCTGGCAATTCAACCTGGTGGCACGACAGTTCGGTGCAAAATTTGCATCGATTGGGCCCACGTTACCACGCCACTTTTTGCGGTGGTTGGGCCAGGGATACCCCATTCCTGGCAATTAGTCCTGACGGCACAACGGTTTGGTGCAAATTTTGCATTGGTTGAACGCACAGTACCACGTAATAGTTGCACTGGTTGGGCTGAGTGTACCCAGCTATACGAGCACTTGATGAGCCAAAGGTATTTGCTAATACTAGCATTTGAGGACCCAACGGTATCTCCAATAGTGGGGCTTGTCGACACAAGGGTACCCCCAATCGTTGTTCGTGAGGACCAAGGCTATGAGATTGATGATGCTAGGTAGTCCCCTGACCGTTACCCGCGTTCTCGGGTAACTGCGAACGGGGCGTTATCGTTCCCGGTGACTGGGAACTTTTTCGTTACCGTTACCGTTCCCACGAACGGTCTGGGAACGGTAACTTCCCACCCCTAGTTACAGATCAGTTCCTATCAAAGAACTGGCTAGACAGATCAGTTCCTAT